GATGCTGTTACAGTTTATAGACGACTTTCAAGAAGGGCTCATTTGCCAACTCAAGCCAGTGTTACAAAAGTTTGTCTTTGAAATCCGATCTGAGAACGAAATCGATTCTACAAATTGAATCACGAAAGTCGATGCATTGATCAACGTCATCAGAATATTCGCAGTCAAACTTCCGTCGGTGGGTGTCACGCTGCTTTTGGTCATCCCAAAAACAGCAACATCAATCTTCTTCTTCATTCTCGCTATCGCGACTTGGTACGCGATCTTTTTTGAGCCAGCAAGAACGCTACAAAAGATGAAATCGAACAGGAATAAAGTAGTGTAAGACGGCACCTATAGTTTCTCGGAGGAGCTCGCTAACGTTTTTTAGTTTCGAAGGAGAGAGCGATCCGGAGAAGTGGCAGAAAGACTATCTACTGTTGCTCTCTAGCCTATCCGCGAGGGGTCTCTCATGGAGTCTGAATCGCAGCGTCGGCTTTCTTCTTTTCGAGCGCTTCAGCCCGGGTTCCGATCCTGCTTTGATGGTCCGACTCGTCCATCAAGTCGTGGCGCTTGAAAAGGTCATGCTGAAGTTGATACAGAGTTACACAAAAGCGCAAGGTCTTTCAAGGCCTTAGCTGAGGGCAAGCTCTCGAGCCAGAGCTTAGAAAGGCTGAGAGCCGTACGCAACCGGTCTCGTGTGGTACTCACTACAGTTCAATCTTTCGTTACGAGCGTTTATTGCATCAGGAACTTCTATGGCTGGGTATGGAAGCATCCTGTAGAGCGCCCGTTGCTGTCTGTCACAGATAGGAGTTGTCATGGTAGTCGGGTTGCGATCTATCGCAACATGGTGGGGGAATGGATCGCAGAGAAGTTCAAACTGGGATCTCAAATCATGCGCAGGTGTTTGCAACGTGTGGCCTTGAGTGCGACCGCCCAGGAAACCCGGCCGTTTCTAGACGCCACATTGCCTCGATACGCCGGTGCGGCCGTATGAAAGTAGCTGATGGTGCCTTTCGGTCAAACCTAGAGTCGACTGACATTCCATCATGCAACAATACGAAAGACTTAGGATGTCTAGTCACCACAGGCCTGATCTCTGGAGAGGCAGGAGCGATCGTAGGGTCTTCATTTCTCAGCCGAGACCTCGTGCAAAGAGGAGTACAGATAAACGATGGGAGTGAATCGTGGAAAACACCCCTCTGCTCTCCGCGACAGCAAACCAGAATGTCTGAACTCGAACTCCGAATCATGTCGACTTCGTCTCTCCACGGTCCATTGAGTTGCTGAATGGCGGAGGTAGGGTTGGAAGTTCCCCTCAATTCTGTCGACGACCCTAAAATCCTCGCATAATGAGTATCACGCGAGCCACGTTTCAGCGCGATTTCGCCTCCACAGAGTTGTATTAGGAGGATGATTGATGTGAATAGCCATGTTCTGTGCAGTATATACGCCAAAATATGCAATGCTTAAAAGTGTAGACTCAAGAACCATCGCGCGATATATTATAGTTGATACCACAATGCCTTGCCAGACTCATACGCTGCAGTGGGCCGTCCCGCCGAAGGCATCCAGGGTATGGATTCCCATGAGAGCGAGCTTCCCCACGAGGCAGCCTGGCTTGTCTTGACGTGTCTGACTACATCAATCCCTCTTGAGATATCGACGGCGAAAGGGGTGTTTTGGTAGGTGATCTGGACCGTTGCTAATGGCCCTTCTACACATTCGTATCCAACGAGGGAATCGTGGATTACGCTCGCCGACCACCTGCTCCCCACACCCGTAACTTGAAGTGTAATAATTGAGTTCTGTACTGGCGCTTGGGTCCTTCTTTTGACGTCCATACCAAAACTCCTGCTCTTTTGCGGCATCCATAGGGAGCTCGAATAGGCCCGATTTATGCGTGATGATAGAATGCTCGAAGAACGTCTGTGTACCAGAAGCCAAGCGTATCTCCCGAATCCCTTCCCATTCCTCGCTCACGTACCATAGGAAAAATCCTTGGCGTTGATAAACAGTAATCTTCGCTCGTTAGGAACAGAATACAGAAACGAGGGATGGCAATCGTACCTTTGCCTCGGTTTTGGGCTCCATCAGTGGCGGGCCTGGCGTGTCCGCGGAGTCTCCTACAGGATGCCCAAGCCAGCGTAAAAAGCCGTCCATTGCAGTCTGATAAGGTCTCATCCGCAAGACCGTAGAGTAGTGGAGTCGTCAAGTTAACTCAATGGGTTCGCAGTTCGGGGGCAGGATAGGTCAGATAAATGATTCGAGCACCGCAATATCGGCAATTTCTGAAAACAGCATTATGATGCCTGATGGGTTGGATGTGGCCATGGATAAAGGCTCGTCTTGGCATTCGTCGATCTCGCACAAACTCAAACATGCAGCTGGTATTACCAGAAAGACTTTCCTTCGCAGCAATGACAGCCTATCGCACAATGTCGGTCACGAAGTGCCGA